TTATAGGCAGCCACAAGGTCGCCTCTCAACCTTCTCTTGTGGAGGCTGAAGAGGTCCAGGTGCCCCAGTCTCTCCTCATAGGGCTTGGCCTGCAAGCCCTTAACCATACGAGTGGCCCTTCTCTGGACCCTCTCCAGGTTCTCCACATCCCTCTTGAATTGCGGCGCCCAAAATTGCATGCAGTGCTCCAACTGCGGTCTGACCAGCGCCCGATAGAGGGGAAGTATCACCTCCTTGGTTCTGTTCATCATCCATCTGCTGATGCACGATAAAGTGCCATTAGCTTTTCTGATGGCTTCGTCACACTGCCGACTCATGTTCATCTTGGAGTCCACTAGGACTCCCAGATCCCTTTCCGCTTCCGTGCCTCCAAGCAGGTCATTTCCTAGGCAGTAGGTATGCTGGACATTTTTCCTCCCTAGGTGCAGCACTTTGCATTTCTCCTTGTTGAACTGCATTCTGTTGTTTTCTGCCCACTTGTCCAACCTGTCCAGGTCTGCTTGTAGTTGTTCCCTGCCCTCCGGCGTTTCCACTTCTCCCCACAGTTTTGTGTCATCCGCAAACTTGGACAGAGTACAAACTTGGACAGAGTACATGTGTGTGTGTGCATGTGTACGTGCATGCACATGCACGCGTATACATACACACACATAGAATTTACCTATAAACCTAGAGAAAAATCACTGGAACTACAGAAGAATCATGTTTAGCCATCAGTAGCTCTAGTAATGTGGTATATGGATGTGATATGCATATGAAAGTTTTACGCCCCTATGAATTTAAAATGTTAAAGGACAGTTTTACTTTAATGCCATTAGAGCTAGATAAATGTTCTTGAATATTGAGTTTGACAACTTTTTGATGTGTTAATTTGATTTTCAACCCCAAAAAATCTCACTGAAGACCTAAGCAACCAGCAATATTAATAATAAAATAGTAAACCCAGAAACTATATAACAATTTAGGAGGTATACAGGAAACATGTAGCTGGTCAGAATCTTCCAAATACTGGAAAATATTTAAGTAAATGTTGACTTATTTTTATAAGGTATAAATTTTTTGAAAAGCAGCAATAAATTAAAAATCCTATTTTTTTCTAGCTTTTCACAAGTTCTAATAATGATTGCAATTTAGAGATATATTTATGTAGTCATATAACAACAGCACTTTAGTCAAATAAAGTATTAGGTATTCTACAGACAAATAATGAAACCCAGTCCTTGTCTCAGCAAGATTAAAGTATAGAGATCTGGTTCAAAGTCTACTGAAGACTGGAAAGATGTCCAGCGAAATTTGAGCTTGCAGCACACTAACCCCTTTAAGGCACCAGAAGTACTTCTGGATCTCTACCAACACATATGAGATCAGGATCTATTCATTAGATTTTTAACAAATTCCCTCCAAAGAGTCTGCTCTAATTCAGCCTGCTCTGAGGAAGGAGAAATTTCTTATCTGAATAGACTGAGGGCAGCTAACTTAACTAGCAGATAACTAAAAGCAAAAACGGTGTGATCTCAAATCTGCACAGAAATGTAATTATGTTTAACAGAAACAAGATAGGGGGAAAAACATAAGGAACCCACGCTTAGCAGGCCGTATATGAACTGGCAGACACCTTGATTTTACTTATTAAAAGGCTGAAGGATGAGGAGTAGGTCTGACATGCTGCTTTCTTTTGCAAGAGAGAGTTTGTTACTACTTGAGGGATGTGTCTACATGTGCAATAAATTCAAAGCAATAAACTCCAGAGCAGTTTGAGCCAGAGCAAACTACTCGCAGGTGCAGTGTCTACATGTGCACCTGGGACAGTGGCAATTTGAGCTGGGGCAGGGGCAGTTTATGTCAAGGCTGTTCCTGCCCTGCTCTGCCCAGGATTTGGGTGGTGGCATTGGAGGGGCTGGCTGTGGCACAAGGGTGCTAAAAGTGCAGAGCTGTCTGGCCTCCTGCTGCTTGGGCTGACCGGGTGCAATTTATGCCCAAAGTCAGCATCTTCACGTGCATTTAATCGCAGCTAATTACTCCACCATAAGATAGTACTGTCACAGCAGTGTTAATTAGTTTACTGTGGGCTAATACTATTGCATGTGTAGATGGTGACGCTTTACTCTGCAGCTAGTCTACTCCACACTGAAATGCACATGTAGATGTGGCTGAGGAGTAGCCAGAGAAGAAAAGTTTAAAATTCTATGGCACTTTCTAGTTATTTAGGCCCTGATCCTGGGAAGTTGGATGCACTCAAATAATGCTCATGCCTGTTGATTGGACTACTCATGTGCTTATGCCTTTGCAGAACTGGGGCCATAATAAGGAAGAAATAAACACAATAGGGCAATGTGTTCATAATAAGGAAAATATTTTCTCCCTTTTTCTTGGAAATCTCATTTGGGTGCAGCGTTACCTATACCATGTAAAGAAGGCTGGAAGCAAAGGATACCACCTCTACTTGACATGTTAATTAGGACATAAAGATGTAAATACAGCAAATAGCTGAAATAAGAAAGGAAAACACACTTTATTTTACTGATGTTATTAGCATAGGGATATCTGTTCAGATTCTCTGAGTGGGTGTTTCCTGCCCTGTGTTAGAAAACACCATTTTAGCACAAGGGACCGAGGTGCTTGAGCTACGGTAAAAGCAGCCAAGTGTTCAGTTTGTCTACCCAAGAACTTGTAGTTCTCCTATTATGGCTGGCAAAATAATAAACAGAGCCGTTATGGAATAGGTTCATCTGGTATAATCAATTGTCCTAAGTCTCTGTCGCTGCTTAATAACAGTAAAAACAATTTCCAATGTATGAAAATAACACAATGGATTTTTCTTTACCTGCTGTGGCTATGGTGTCAGAAGCCTGCTATGACCAAATGGAGTAAGTTTTAATAAGATTTTCATGTCCCCATAGTACCTTTTGCATCTATTGCTCTTCAGAAACTATACTTACAGCATCAGTGAATACTGCAACTTCTTGGGTGGAGGATTGTAGCCAACTGAAGGGGGCTGTATTTCAAGTGAAGTAATCCCCAAGACACTACAGAATAGTCTGTCTTTTGTGGAAAGTAAGACATCTAAAATAGAATGTCAAGGAAGCATTAAAAAGCACCTGTTTTATTTGTTACAAATGCTATATGGTCACTTGCACGGTGGCAAATTCAAGGGGAGGTTGCTTCAGATGGCATCTTTTTTCTTGAGTAGTGGCCCACACTGTGAGAAGGTGGAGGAGCCCTCCTTTAAACACATGCCCTTTTATTGAGTTGCCATTAGACAGTACTCCTAAGAAATACATAGCTCTTAACAACTTGATCAGATGGTCAGTGAATGCAAAGTCTGGCAAGCTGATGAGTGGGGGAAGGTTGTGTATCTGTTGTTATTAATTACAGTAGAGCCAAAAGGCTTCCAATAATATCAGGATCCCATTGTGCTAAGCTACTATTTTTTATAAAGTACCATGAGATCCTCAGATGAAAGGTGCTAAATAAAAGCCAAGAAGTGTTGGAAGTATTGAATACCCGGATACAGGCAAATTAGAGGCATCATAATTATTATTTTATTCTAAAGTTGAGTCTAGAGACTCCAGCTATGATCAAGGCTTCACTGTTCCAGGCACTATCTGTACACATAATAAGAAACAGACCTGAAGCTTTTACTACCTAAACTGGAAGGAAATGGAGAACAAAGGGAAATGGAGAACAGAGCCATAGAGAAGTAAAGAAATGTGACCCATATCATGCATAAAGTCTGTGGCAGGGCTGGGAACTTAAGCTAAAGTTTTAGTCCCAACTCAGCTCCTTACCCAGAAAAATGTTCAGACCCTTTATAAGAAAATGGAGATTGAAAAGCAACAGTTTAAGTAGCTTGAAGTTCATGGTTGCCTAAGATTCAACATTTAATATAAAAGTAAATATTAATCTAATGTTTGACCTGATTATACATCAAGTTTCTTTTTAAACTGCAACATATTTTTATTGTTTAAAGAAGGTAGTGTAAAACTGTTAAAGAGACAAGTATAAAAACAAGAGATAAATATGAAGGGTAAATCTAAATGTCACAGTGGAGCTGTCATATAATGTGTATTTATTATAATATAATATAATATGTATTTATAATAAGCTACTAACAAAGTTGTGCTGTGTTAGCAATGCTGTATTGTTCTGTCAGCATTTCCATTCTTAGGTGCTATCATAGAAGATGCTGCAATTCAGCCATCAAATTCCTCTCATCACTAAAATGAGATGTGTGGACTTTTCCATAAGGATCCCAGATGGAAAACTCTTTTATAGATTGAAGCCAATGGGGCTCATAGAAACT